ATCGCCAAAAAGTTTGAAAGGATGCGAAGTCTGTTTTTTAACGACTTTTTCGTGGACGTCGCCATTGTCGGATCGTTAGGTTCCTATTCACTATGAAGCTTTTCCGTAATAATTATAGAGGTGTCCATTTTATAAAAGTGTATTTATGAGGAGAGTTTCCCCTTAAACACTTGAAGTCTCGATTGCCACTACGAGGAAAAGCCAGGATATCATTTAAACAACAAGAAACAGATTTATCCCGCGAATAGAGTTCTCCCTCTTGTAAACAACAGGATTTTATGTCTTGATTCTTTAGTCCTCTGGCTTTGATACCTGATTACAAAAAGGGGCGAACATCATAAGATAGGTTCGGATCCATTCCAGTCTATGACAGCATTCTTCCACCTGTGCGATAAGTAAAAAAATACACAAGGGTTTAATAGTCTACTACTATCTTAGGACAAGGACGCTGAATTATCGTATGCCAACTATTGCGTTCTGTGTCATGTTACAAGCTGGTTTTAACAATCCTTGGTCTGTAAACTTATCTACCATAGAAATGACGTCACAATGTTCAAAACTCAAGTGGAACCAAGAAATGCGGTTTCATTGCAAAGTTTTGAACATTTTGACGTCATTTATATTGTAGACAAGAGTACAGACCATAGAAAATTGTTGTCGATTTGTTTCTTACAATAATATTGCCAGTTTTTGACGTCCATTCACGTTGAAGTTTCTCGGAAAATCGCGCGCGAGAGAAAGAGAAAAACAAATTGCGCCATCATGACGTTATTTCCATGGTCTGCACTCTGTTCGAACAAAGCTCTCAACCAATCTGCGCGCGAGAATCCGCTCAGTTAAAAAATATCTTTTGACTTGGCGCATAAAATATTTCTCGCTTTTATTCAGCCCGACATATCAACAAATACATCAAACACGCCTGTTTCTGCGTCAGTAGAAGAAATCCTAAAACGACTAAACTTTTCATAACCAAAAAGATTCCAAAAACCACTTTAACGAGCAAGCAATAGGTTTTTGGATAGTAACACCTTAAAAATTTGCCGACAAACTAGGCACCACACGCAAAAACAATACCATCACGACTTGAAAGTACTGCTTAAAAGGTTTCTTTTGAATGATCACGTCGTAGTATTTCGTCCACAGACTCAAACGTAACAGCTGCATACTAAATTAAAAGAAACATCTGAAAGTATTGCTAAAGAGGTTTCATTTGAATGGTAACACCATAGCGAGGATTTCGTCCACAGACTTAAAAGTTAGAACTACACTCAAGATATGGAAACATGTGAAAGTACAGTGTAGGGCTGACCAGGTTTAATTTGAATGACCAGACACATTGCCTGACGGTTGAAAATGAGCCTGGAAAAACACCTCTGTGTTAAAGAATGATCCCATTATGGGCCTTTTCAAACTCATGAATGACGGGCTACAAAAACGATTTGATGGAGAGCAAGAAACGTACCAGAACGACAAGAAAAACAGACCTTATATTATTTTATTTGGAAATTTACTTTCTCCTTCTTGTTCAAGTAGGTTTCTTGCCTCCAAGCACGGCGTTTTTGTGCCAAGCGGCCAAATTCAAAACCCTGAATCGAAAGGTCCACTTTTCTGACAATGAACTCTGTCACGTGGTCTCACCTTGTTCGTATGCAGTGTTCCAGTGGAGGCACAAGATCAGTGTCCTTGTATTCTGGGCATTCTTTTGTTGTATCTTTATCAAGAGAAAGATGAAATTACTTAAAGGCTCCGTCCACACGTATCCGAATATTTTTGAAACCATTTTTTTCTCCGTTTTAAGTCTTCTGCCGTCCACAATTAAACGGCTTTTTCAGGCACCTAAAATGTACGTTTTGTAATACGCTTTCATAGTGTTGATTTTTTTTTTCTTTTCTTTTTTTTCTTCTTGTTTTTATTTGCCAAACACCTTTTTATCTTTCTTTCATGAAAAAGGAGGCTTCAGTTGAAATGAGATGATGTCATACATATTACAGGGACGCTATCGTAATTTCATCAACAAAAGACATCTCTGAGATTATATTAACCTGAAATGCGTTTTTCCATATTAATGGTATTTAACCCGTGGAATTAAAATTTCAATTTCCCTTAGTTTTTGTTAAGTATTTCAATTTTTCCTGACTCAAAATAACTTCCCTGACTTTTTCATGACCTTGAAGTATCTTTTTTCTAGGCCATTAGCTAGCCTGTAACAGCCATGTACCCAAGCAAGACCATATAGCTTACACTATGGCAGTTTACAGGAAGTAATGCTTACTCACCAACTGTCAATCTTAACTCCTCATCCTGCCGTGCCAGACCATCATAGTAATAAAGATCAAACTTCTTCTCTAACCTCCTGTGTATGTCAATCAATTAATCGATCGATCAATCAATCAATCAATCAAACAAACAATCAATCGTTAGAGCCTACATCGACTCCTATATTGCAGTTAGATAGCACATTATCCACACATCCAATCCTGCAATCACTATCATAATCTTGAAAAAACAAGATAAACCAAGTCATTCCACGAATACATGCTCCGATTCCCTTAAGGTCTCCTTCTCCCAGTGTTGGTTTTAAAAGATTGCTTGGACTTTTTGTATAAACATTGAAGCGAAGGGGCGAAGAAATCCGCGAGTGCTTCAACAATTATGACTAGGACTTCCGGCCAGCAAGGACCTCTGGCTTAGGATCCGTAGTTCAGGTTTCAAGCCCTGCCATCGCGTTCATTCCTTAACGTTGTCTCTCCTCACTCATGTGTATTAACGGAACCCGGCGACATACTGCTAGCGGTAACCCTGCGATAGCCCACATGCAGAAGTTTCCTTTCCTAGCGGGAGAGATGGCGGGGGAGGAAAGCATTACACCCAGGTTTCTCATACTAAAGAGACTGGGAGAAGCCTCGGTCGTGTGGGCACCATGGCTTGCTAAGCTTAGTATAAGCGTCTAACAAGAGTACTCTGGGTCCAATTTCCCTTGGAGGTGCCCAAAGCTTGGACCACCTACCCCTCCCCTATGTAACAATTTTACCCTTAGTGAGAAATAAAAGTTAACGTCGACTTAGGGGAGGGGTAGGTGGTCAGTAACCGAGAAACCTCGATACCAAAACGTTGCCTCTGAGTTTGCACGCTTTGATCTGATCATTATACGTTTCTGGGAGACTGCCCACCTACCCCTCCCCTAAGCCAACATTTTGCCCTAAGTGAGAAGTAAGTGTTAATGTTGGCTTAGGGGAGGGGTAAGTGGACAGTTTCCCACTCCTTCATACAGTTGGTGTCCGACCATCATCATTTGCCTGTAAACTGGTCGCTGATAGACGTAATTTTTTAACGCTTCGGTAAAGCACTATAAGTGACCAGGACGTAGCATCCCTTTTACACCATCAGTGTTTTTAACAAAACGGAAGGAATAAAACTCCTCATTACTACATAAATGGCTTTCAGTGACAACATCAAAGAATAGAAGTCTTTAGGAAGAATAAAAACAGGCTGATAAGTTCAAATGCCGTAAATTGGCTAGTATCAATGGCTGTTTTCACACTGGAGACGGATTATCCGTTTGAGACGGATAATCCATCTTGAAAATCCGTCAAAATTGAAGGAAATACAGATGGATGAAGTCAGGTGGATTGTCCATCCAAAACTAAGACGTATTATCTGTCTGACGCGAATTATCCAATGGATAATCCGTCTCTAGTGTAAATACGGCCATTTACTAGTCATTATAAGCTTACCAGTCGTCCAAGAGGTTTCTGTCGATAGAGAACAAGACACTGAAGTGACTCTCGCTGCATATCACCCAAATAGGATAATTGGGAGTCTTGTAATTCACACCAACCTGTAACAAATGAAATGATGAATTTTGTCAGTACATCGTAGATACTCATGTTGTTTGGCCATCTAAGCTGAAGAAGAAACAAAAAGCAAACAGCGGTGATAAACAAAAATGCGTTTATATTTCCTTATATGTTTATCACAGCAGTTTGTTTGAGAAACGCGAAAAATAACGCCTGTTCTGCAGGGTAGCAAAACTGCTCCTTTGAACTATACGCCGGTTAAACATTAAGCCCCAATATCAACATAAAAATTCCTCACACTGATCTCCTTACATTTCCTTGAAAAACAAGTTTAGAGAATATGATTTAAGATCAAAGCATCTTCACTTAAGTGATGACTTTATTAATTCTCATAACCCGGTCTCTTGATAATGTACAAATATTGTTAGGAGATAATTGATGTTGGTCACCCGTGGGACATAAAGGGTTAAACCTTAAGCCTGATTTCCATATAATAATCTGGATTATTTCAGTCGCCTTTATTTTCTACTCGGGACGTTACAAACCAACGCATGTCAACCAGCCTATCTACAGAGCTTGGCTCTATCCAGACGGTTGAATGCCTGCAATAAGCAACAAGGACGGCGACGGCGACGGCGACGGCTACGAGACGTCTAACAGTCTGTTCATTTCCAAGGTCCACTATTATGGACGGGAGCTCCACCCTAAGGTTTGCCTCAATGTATTAAAGAAGAACAACGAGTTCTGTTCCACTTAAACTAGGAGGAACAGGAAGCAGCCTTGGAGGTGTGCAGAAAAATAAAAGGCAATTTAAGCAGCGACGTTTTTGAGCGACGCACGTCAACCGGAAGTGTACTTTTTGCACTCTTGAGCCGTGATTTTGAACACATAAGAGAAAAGGCACATAGAAAAAAAAATTCACTTCCGGTTGACTTGCGTCGCTCAAAAACGTAGCTGCTTAAACTCCCTAAAGACGGTGACAGTGGGTAAGCACCTCCCGGCCCCTTTCATCACACCCCCGCCCCCCTTCTTTCCTCTCTACCCAAAGAAATAGGCAGCTTAAGCAACAACGACAACAACGACTACGAAAAAGTCACCTGAAAAGTGAATTCGCGTTGCCTCAAATTCTATCGCGCTTATAGCATCTCGTTTAACTCGTCAAATGTTGGCAAATTTTTTGTAGTTGAATTCTAAAGGACTGTATCAAAGTACAGGAAAAGAAAGTCGCATGTTCTCGTCCTCGACAAAACGTGAAATTAGGCACCTTCACGTTGTAGTCGTGCAACAACGACGAAGAAATGCACAAAAAAGCGTATTGTTTTGCGAATCTAAGGGTCTGTTTACATGGCGGTGGGGGACTCCAGATAGGTGAGGTAACATACACCGGGTCACCCCACCTATCATGTAAACGTGATCAAATTAAAATGGGAGATTATATGGAGAGGTGGGTTACCCGACCTAAGCGGGTTACCTCCCCTACCTGGGGTCCCCCACCTCCATGTAAACAGGCTCTAAACCTATTGCTTTTTTCCCGTCCTCGTTGCCGTCGCCGTCGCCGTCACCGTTGCTTAAGCTCGCTAATATCTCTAGTCATCACCAACCTCGCATGATTTGTAATGTTCAAATAAGGACAGAAACCCGATCTCACTTTGTTTATCTATCCCTTTGAAGACATTCTAAAAAAAAAAAAAAAAAAAAAAATCGGTAAATGTTAGTATTTATAGGAAAGCAAAAAACCTTACTATAAGACGTTCACAATTCGTTAATCGAAAGATTAAACAGAATGTTTAAAGAAACTAAGAGGCATCAGCAGTTGCAGAGAATAAGGGGAATTCCTTCAGATATTCTCGAGATGATGGGGTTGTATCACATTGAATCGTTGTAATTCCGTTTTACATATTAGTGAAAATAATCTTTAATAGGTTCGTGATACAGTGAAACCCCGTACATACGGACTCTAAGGGGGGTATAGAAAGTGTTCGTATTAACGAGGTGTTCGTATTAAGAGGGTTGAATTAAGAAAAATCTCAGGGCTTTCATTCTCCAGGGACAAGGAAAACTGTCACATGTGAAAATCGTCTTAGGTTCGTGATACAGTGAAACCCCGTACATACGGACTCTAAGGGGGCCATAGAAAGTGTCCGTATTAACGGGGTGTTCGTATTACACGAGTTGAATTAAGAGAAAAAGTAAGGGCTTTTTTTCTCCGAGGACAAGGAAAATTTTCACATATCAGTAAAAGTCGCTTTAGGTGCGTGATACAGCCAAACCGCGTGAATACTAAGGGAGCCATAGAAAGTGTCCCGAATTAGCGAGGTGTCCGTAAAACGGAGGTGACTGTACACGAATCATTAACAACCATGGGGGTGGGGTACAAACAGTCTCACTCAGGAAATCAACTTTATCGCCTGACGAGGACCTAAGTAAGTAGCGATCAGTAGTGACAATCTTGGGACAAACGATAAACGGAACCCTTTAAACACATTAACCACGATGAAAAATATCCTTCATGACATCGTCTCAAATACTACACCTTTTTCGAACCCCCTGTATCAACTTCCATGATGTTATCGAATGTGTTTGAGACAGCCTTTCCAGTTATTAACAAGTTCACCAGTTCCTGTAAAGGACAATACATGTAATAAGAACGAGAATGAGACTTTTGCTGCAATTAATGAAAAAGAAGCTCAAACTGGACGAAAGAAAGAACGAAAGAAAGACGGAAACAGACAACCAAACAAAGTAACAAACACTTGTATGATACATCAAGGGACTAAGGGAACACCTTACCACCGCACCTGGGAAAACTGCGCTAAGAATGGTGTTAGCAGACATACAAAAAAATTATAATATTGAACATTCTATTAAAAGAAATAGGCACGCGAAGGCATAACCTACAAAGACTATCCATTCCATTTAAGATTAACGTCAGGGAAATCATCATCATCATCATCCTCGTCGTCGTCGTCAGATTGATACCCGTAAATGAAAAAGATTGTAGTATACAGGCACTGCATTGAAAATCTAACCTGCGTGCAGTAGCCGTGAGCACCCATCAGCCTGCCTTGAGGTTCATCCATATCAGATATCACTCTTAAACAACAACAACAAGAAAAGTTAAAGGCCACTAAATACTTGATAAAAATCACCAGAAGCTCCCTTACATTAAACTTACAATATAATACTAGCAGATTATTTTTCTTGAAATTATAACACAAAGGCTTACTCTCGATTTCTACTGACATTGATACTTCTTTGCCCCTAGTCAACTATTTGCCGTTAAACTCATCGCCAATAGATGAACTTGAGAACTGGTGCCTTAATGGTTGGACGGGAGCCTGAGCGCCTCAGACATAGCAAGGAGGTATCCATGGCAACCCTGCAAGCGGGAACCACCCCTGCATGCAGCCGCCAACTGGCACCGTCACACTGAAGGAAATTCACTGGAAAATATTCACCTGACCCCATACTTACCAACGGACAAACCCAAAAAGGGGAGGGAGGGGGTGGGAGCCAGAATCCGCAAAGATTGGAATAAAACACCTGATCCGCAAAGATCAGCTCAAAATGCCAGCATGAGATGCAACGTAAGTGACAAGATAAGCAATGTGCCGTGCATATGCACTTATTAGAAGGCGGGGATTTAACAGCTAGGAGGTTCTTTGGTTCTATTTCCTTTTTTGTCCTAAGAAAGTGGCCAGGGGTCATACTCATAACAGCCGGGGGAAATGGCCGCCCCCCGGCACTAAATGACAATCCTTATCAGGAGTAATAGACGAAGAACAACCATGTGGATACGCTACATCTAAATCATTCATTTAACCCTATAAGTCCCAAGAGTGACCAACATCAACTTTCTCCTCACGATATCGATACAAAATCAAAACTAAAGGTTATGAGAAATAAAGAAATGATCATTGAAAGGAAAATGCTTTGATTTTTTTTTTTATCAAATTCTCTCAACTAATTCTTTGAAGAAACATCTAGTATTAGTTTGAAGATTTTGTATGTGAATATTAGGGCTTAAAGGGTTAAATATCATTTACTAGAGCATCACTTACTTTCGTATTGACCTGGACAATATCACAGAATACAACAGTAAAATACATCCACTGCTACTATCAGATTCAAACTGAAAATGGACAAAAAGTGGATTTATTTCTAGATGAAATGCATTAATACGGAAAGTACATAATTCAGGATTACGTTTGGCTCTTATAGTATAAGCTGTTAATATGCCCGTGATAAAATTTCTAGTAAACCCATTGTAATTTTAGACCGGCAAGCGCAGGACGTTGAAGAAGAACTAGAGGGACCACAGGGGGGACTCCCATATAAAAGGGGCGGGGATTCTTGTTCTCTCGCTTAGGGGGTACAAATTTCGGATTTTGGTCTCACTTAGGATGCTCTTGGCAAAACGCCATTATATTTAGCCGTAATGGTATTTTCAATTCGTCTTATTTACTCGATTCATGTAATCAAGGTTCTCAGTATAACATCAATACCTACAGATTATTGTAACAAATTGTCTCTGTTTTGAAATGGTCTCTTTTAGGGGTCAAAATAAGGTTGGGCCACGCCCAGGTTGGTCTCCTTTTGGGGTGTAATTCAAAATTCCCGGCGAGTATCCCCGCCCCTTTCATATGGGAGTCCCTCCCGGGGTGGGTCCTTAGTAGGCTTTTCGGGATCCGGGATTTAGCTTATTTGACGGCTGGGATCCGGGATTTTAGAGGGAAACGAAATGGAGATCCAGGGTGAAATTAGGTGAAAGTGATACGGGAATTGGACAACGGAAATTCGGCAAACCAAATGCACTGAAAAACGATACATCAGTTAATTTGGAGACGCGATCTAAACACCTTTCATATCGACGTTTTGTCATTCGGTCGACTGTAAACAAAGGCTGTATTCAGTCCAAGAGCAAATCTGTCCATTGAAAGGTATGTTTAGGATTACCGTCGGAATAACTGGATTGAAAAAGCCTAATGAGGACCTTCCGTGATGTCACGTTGGCAATGTTGGTGTAAGTGAACTACAAGCAGCAAGCAAACTCCTCTAGAGAAAGGAAAAGTGTGACGTCACGTTACCATGGTGGCAAAATCATGATCTGGATCTTAACAATCTTTCTTGACAAGGACGGCCATTTGCACTGTCGAACGATGGAAGAAAAGTATGGGCTACTGTTTTATTCCTGAGTGCAATCATGCACAGGAAAGGAATTCATGTTAACTTTTTCGTTTTTTTTTTGTGCCATGGGCCACGGTTTGTTCAGATCCAGACATTTTGCTACCATGGCAACGTGACGTAAAGACTTCTCCTCTTCATTGAGGCGGTTCTGATTTGCTCCATTGAGAACGAAGGGGCATATTACCGACCGCTAACTTTCGGCCCTTGTTTCCAGGCAATAAGCATTTATCGGACAAGGTCAAGCACTTGGAAATATCGCGATATGTCATTGGTGGGCAGATCAAGTATCACTTTTGCTGTTAAGTAAACCGACTTCCGTAATCGTTTCACCAATGATTTACGCTTAATAAAATAATCCTTTTTAAAAAACATCATAAAACAGATACAATGGTTAAAAGGTAAGCAACGGTACCTCGTGAAAAGGAGAAATAAAAACTACCTTATCCAGACTAATTCAATAATTGCTAACTGTGCAAACATACAACAGGTAAGGATAGAGTAACCTAGTAAGAATTCTACGTACCTGCGATATATTTTGCGCGATAAAACTAAGAAGACTTTCAGAAGACTTGAAGGTGTATAACACCAGCTGCGGTTTACAAAAAAAAGAGAGCAGATGTGATTAACTCACAATTACAAAACTGCAAGTAGAGTACAACAGCAAAAATAGCCTTATCTTGATGTAAGAAAACAAACAAGGCCCATTTTTATCAATCGTGCAGGGCTGCAAATAATAGTTGGTCATCGAACAAAGTCCAACTAAAATTGGCCCACGTTCGGCGAAATCTTAACTGCATTAATTTCGGACATGAGTTGGACATGTCTTGTCAAATTTAATAACAAAGAAGCAATCGCTTTCATTGCAGGGCCCAGGTGTTCGAAGGCCGATTAGAGCAAACTCAGGGTTAAATTTTTATCTGGGTTTCTTTTTCTTTTTTAATAAAGCATTTTCTCAGAAACATTTTTTCTATTCTTTTTTTTTGAGTATGCAATCATCAGTGTATAGAAAAAAAGAATTTAACTGATTTTTTTATTTTTCTTAGCTTTCAAACCTGAATTCAGACTTCACTCTTTCCTTTTGCCATCTTCACCGTTCGTACACTTTTTCAGGCCAAAAATTCAAGGACTTTTCAAGGACTTTTTTTTAATGACAATTTTACCTCAAAACCAAGAAAAATGTTTGTGTTAACATTTATAATTTGGGTTTACAGATAGTGCAGAACATTTTCGATCTTGTTCAATAAAAACTCAAGGACTTTCAAGGACCGAAAACGAAATTCAAGTACTTTCAAGGCCTTGAAATCGGACTCCTGAAATTCAAGGGTTTTCAAGACGCATACGAACCCTGCATCTTAACCGAGGTTTGAACAGCTAAAATCTACCCTGAGCAAATGTGTAGGAACAAAATACCATTATTGCATTATGGCAGCAATTACAGTAACAACAGTCTACCTGCAAATCTCACATTCACCATGAACAATATTCGTTAAAGAGGTCTAATGGGAACACTATTGCGGAGACCGATCTCTTTCAGTAAAGCCAAACATGTATTACGAAGTCACCCTTCACGGAAAGTGACTTCTCAATACAAGTGCAACACTGTTTACAGTGCAGGCACCCTATTTTCCCGTAAAAATGTCACGATCGAACCATTTTGGAGTAAAATGTCCCATCTTGCTTTAAAACGTTCTATCAGTGGGCAGGCGTCGGGCGATCTTATGGGAAATTGCAGTACTTACCGCTTCTGTTAACTGGTCCGGTTTGTATCACCCAGCACCACAAACATTAGAACCACCAGTAGGTCTCAAATAAATTGTAAAAATTAACTAAATGGGATGCAACTTACAAATTATTGTAGCTATCGAGTTGAGTTGTCTAGTCAATATTTTGTGTTACTTGATTTGGTGATTGCTCCATCCGCAAAGATATTGCGCGATTTTTGTTTCAAGCGACGTTATTCTTGAGGCGAGAGAAATGAATCAGAGGATGTGAAGGGACTTAATTTTGATTTGTAAGAGAAAAACTAACAACCCCATAAAAAGAAAAACGAAAGGCCATGTCTTGCTTTTTGTTATTGATTTGTTTTGTTTGATGTTTTATTTTGGTCTTGTTTTCTATTACGATGGTATCAATGGATGTGATTCGAGGGGCTTGAGCGATCACAACGGCGACGACAGCGAAAACAACTTTGATCGCATCGACGTTCAAAAAAAGGAGGAAAAATTCTACATCTTGTGGTCACCCACTTCATAGTTCGCCCTTTAGCAAAACACAAATTTTACGCAGAGAACGGCTTTTGGTGTTTCTCGTTGCCGTCGCCGTCGCCGTTCTTCCGTTCTTCCGTCACTGTTTCTCAGGGCGCCTGCTGTGTACTAGGACTGAGTACGCCCCGTGAATGGCCTGTTCGGGTTGAAGGGAAATCCAAACGTCCTTCCGATAACTGATTCATTAAGTCCGTTTAGGGGGTCGAACAAGAACCTCGGGGCTGCTTCGCAGACGTTACTAACTGCGATAAGATTACGTCTGCGACGCAGGCTACTATTAGGGACTTTAAGATCCAACGACGCGACGGCAACGAGAACGTCGCTTATAAAGTGAATTTGCGTTCTTTCAGTCTTTATCGCAATCATTACCCTCTTACTTTGTCGAATGTAGGCGAACCCTCCTGGAGTTGAATTCTTAGGGACCATAACCATGTTCAGAAAGGGATGAAATTTCGTCTGCTTGTTCAAAGTTGTTGTAAAACCTATAGATTTTTTCTACTTTCGCGTTGCCGTCCTCGTCGTTGGATCTTAAAGTTCCTATTATGGCTGACCCAGAAGAGGAGAAGACTACCGGCACTGGCAGTCCAGACATGTGACTCGGCTGAGTCCACCTTGAGCAGAGTAGAGTGCCCGATGACAATCACTCGACAACGACACATCACTCAGGGTAGCGCCTCGTGTTTCAAACTCAGCACAACACTCCTGTTCGTTTTTTTAAATAATGCATAGACAAAATTCCAGAGTAACTTACAAGGCTACTACTGCACATCTGCTGTCACCAGCCCTCCAACATGATTTCATTAATTGCTGATGTAAGAGCTTTGGTTCTTTCGCGGGAAGAAGGCCGAAGTTTCCTAAAATGGACGTGAAATAGAATTTATTGAAAGATTTAAAAAAATAGTTTCCATAATCGCCACGTCCGGGCAGGAGCAGCAGAAAAAAAAGGACGTGGCTGAGTTATTCTCAAAAGTTGTTACTAGGAATGGAAATGACAGGGGAAATGGGAAAAAAATTATTATCGGCATTCAATTTCTCCGTTTCTGATTGGCTCAAATCCCCCAGCTTTAATATTCTTCATAGCCAGCTAGCGATGACCAACTTTGGAAGACGCTTGCGATATCCGGTAAAATGAATGAATGAAGAGTTTTGGATGAGAGGACAACAGACGTGCCCTCTTACAATATATTTTAACATGTGAACAGTAAGCTTGGACGTCAGCACACAAAGGAGCCATTGGCATCCGCTCTCAGTCCATTTAAAATGACGTCAATGGTACAGAATATTGCAAGAAAAAGGGACGACAACTGAAAATGATTATTTGCAATCTAAACTAAATCATCAAACCAATAGACATTTTCCTGGTATTTAAAGATACCCTAGAGAAAAAAATGAGTAAACATCATATACTCTTGTATCTGAAACACACTGTACTTTTTAAAGGCCCCTTTCTTTCCGCCAAACAGCAAATGCTTGAGGACAAACGCCTGTACAGCAGCCAACACTCCACAGGGTCCACCCTGAAAAAAAAAAAAAGACAACAACAACAATGATAACCCCTAATATTATCATCTACTCACTCTGTTTTATAAGGCTAAGATACTACAACGAGAACTTTGAGGCTTATCACTCTAGGGTTCCTTTAATGAATTAATTATTTTATTCATTTGTTTTAAAACCTGAAGAGTTTCAGTGCTACAGAGTTGCCTTTTTGCAACCTAAAATCATATAATGGTCGCCAGGAGCGTAACTGATAACTATTTCACGCAAATGTTATCTCACTAAAAACTTACCTATTGAAAAAGCAACGGCTTGGCGGCATTACCGCCTAAAACAGGTGTGTACCCAATTGGCGACTTTCGCTGCACTTTTAATCGCAAAACTTTGTTTTTTACTCACCATGGCAACCAAAACGGTCGCAGCTTGGACCACTGGTCACCGTTGTATGGTTCAAACAATTTCCCTTTTTTCCTAGAGATTGAAGCGAAATATTCGCATTAACTTGACCTTACCTTTAGTTGTACAATTCCGTATTCCAGTCCATATAAGTCACAGAATGAAAAGCTTTGATTTCTCCATTCTGGTGTAAAGTTTGACTTGGCATTTCCAAATATAAGATTCTTCAAGCCCTAATGTGATCAACAAATGCATCAGTAAATAGGCGACTAGTTACTCAGGGTATTGCCTAAATCAAGTGAGCTAGCGTGATCAGGCGTTCTTGATATTTTTTGAATAATACTTGCAAACTTATTTTACTTTTTTCGTAATAATTGATTAATTAGTTAAATTAATGCATGAGGGCCCCACTGAAAACCGCCTTGGCGAGTTGGGCTCCCTCTATAATGATTATTATTATTATTATATTGTTATTATTATTATTATTATTGTCTTTTATCAGTCGCTTGCGACGATAATGACTAAGGGGGGACGTAGACTGTAATAGGCTAAGGGGTAAGCATTATAACAAAGTCCCTGTCTTGATAAGATTGACTTCAAAATGTAATTACGAAAAGGATGAAACGACAATGTTAAAACGACAACAAAAGATAAAGCCTCGTCCCCAGTCGTCCTTGGCGATTTCGGATATGACGTCAACTGTCAAGCTTGTCGGGAAAATTCGCCGAGGACGCCTCCCGCTATCGCGCTCGGTTACAAGCCTCCTCTGGTAACTCGGATAGCGCGAACTGGTCTGGGTAAGAGGCTGGTTAGAGCCCTGGAATTGGATTTGCAAGTTCTAGCCCCGCCCTAAACGCAAGCGCTAGGTCCACATACGGAGTGATTTGTTTGCTTGTTTGTTTTCGTTTACCGGTCCATTTCTTGGTGGGAGATCTTAACGATTTATTTGTTTCTGTGTACAGTCAAACTCAATTAACACAGATACCGAGAAAGTGTCCGTATTAACGGGGTGTCCGTATAAAGTGGGTTGAAGTTAGAGAAAATGTAAGGGCTCTATTTCCCCAGGCCAGGGACAAAGCAAACTATTCGCAATAATAAGGCGTCCTAATCAAAAAGGTGTCCGTAAAGCGGGATTTGACCGTATGGTGTTACCAGCAGCTTCACACGATTCAGTGTGTTAGCTAGGGTATTTTGGAGTTAATAAACCCTCCTTTTATTGATCTTAATAGGTCTTACACTGACAATGGACAAATCGAGGTTTATCCAGCGGGTTCCCGAGGCGAATCGATTTACAGTCGGATCAAACAGCTTCCAGGCCATCATATTTACACGTATAGATCTACCATACCTAAGGTTAAGTGACCAAGTTCTTGATCTAGGTCGTCGTCAATATCTTCAAACACCAGATCGCTACTATTAGCCTTTAGTGTAAAAAAACAGTGGTTAATGACTTTGGTGCAATTGCTGTAACCTCCAAGTGGAGGTTCGACTGTTCATCCACTGCTCAATAATCATTATTACCTTCTGATTCTTCAATGTACTGGTGACAGGCTGGTTTCTAAGCAGAAAAAGCAAATAGTTGAAAATCTGGAGGACTTGAACAAACAGAGGGAGACCTGATTCTAGAATGTCAGTACTGAGAATATCATTCAACTTATAGTTACCTTGAGATGTCATTTGATGTGTTTCTTCTATGATGCTTATCTTCCCAGAAAAAATGAAAAATAGAAATAAACAATATACTGCAACATCATCCTTACTGATATAATTTTTGAGCATACAACTTTTTAAGCACAAATAATGTTAAACACAAAGTATGCTCTATGCAGGCAATTATTACTTCTGCCTCCCAAGTTATTTTAAAATAGGGAAACAATATTTTTTTGAGTGATACTCACGGTCTATGTTTTTCTCTTCCCTTTCGGTCAAAAGGAACATCCTGCATATTGTGAAGTTCATCAGTCTGCAGAAAAGGGAAAATAACGATTCTATTGTACAAATGTAAGACATTTCTTGACTTAACGACGGAGACCTCATTTCCAGAGGTCGACATTATACTCAAAAAGTCTTAGGCACATTTGTTTAGGTTAGAAACCTGACACTCAAGTAAGTATTTAGGTAACCTATAGGTACCCTGCGAGCAGAGGTCACTCTCTTGCATGGCTTTTAGCGTTTACAAAGTCGTTCGCGTGGCTTGTCTGTCGCGTAGTTAGTTTGTTTACGTCTCACGGGGCGTAAAGGAACTAACCACACGGCAGACAAGCCACGCGAACGACTTTGTAAACGCTAAAAGCCATGCAAGAGAGAGACCTCTGCTCGTAGGGTACCTATAAGTGAACTTTCCATAAAGTCCTTCCTCCGAGACCTCTGACGACTTCGTCGCTCGTTTAGAAACTCGTGAGGTCGACTTGTGGCAAGTCTAGCCTATACGTAACTGGCACAGTCAGGTGGTTAATATATATTTAGCGGTAATCAGCCACCGCATATGAGTGCAACTCATCCCCTTTCTGATCGCGACATTATACAGCCAAGGCAACGACAAATAAAAGCATCTAAGGAATTACTCGGTCGCGCGCCCCAAGTCCAGCCAACTCTGCTATGCAGGCGAGTATTGAAGAACAGGCTCAAGAAATTAAAGTTCAAAGATGGGCGACACTCCGTAAACCTTTAAATCTCTATTGTCAGTTTTCTCCTTTCGCCCCGCCGCCAGAGCACCTAAGAGAGCTTGCTAGCAGGCTAATTTTCTCCGAACAATATCATTTAAAAGCAAAAGAAAAAAAGCAATGAGAGTCAATGAAATGATCAGCCAAATTAAGAGAAAATGCTTTGATCTTTAAACAAATTCTCCCAACTATAAATGCTTTAAGGGGTCAATCATGGGTGTCTCACGTCAGAATAGGGCGCTTAAACAGAGGCGTTTTTGAGCGACGCCATCTGCCCGAAGTGAGGCGCTTTTAATATGCCGCCTTGATGCTATAAAATTTATATTGCTTAGTTTCTTAATTTGCCTGAAAATTTGGGCAAATCCACTGCCCAAGAAGGTAAAGAAAGAAAAAATCACATAACTAACAGAACGTAAATCACACAGACTTTCCGAATGACCATAAGCAGAGAACGGACATTGTCTGTATAAGCTGACGCTGCAAAGGAGTCTGCTTTTAAAAAAACGAAAACCGCCAGAGAAATGTTGGGAGCTTCAAAAAAGTAGCAGACGTAGTTATTTTTGTACAAAATATTTACTTTATTGGATGTGATACCAAGTGAGGACGGCCATGTCTTTTTTTAATTGGTTTAAAGATGACGTAAAAATTCTGTATTTTGGTGGGGTAGAATTGCTTTTTGGTAGGAAGTTTTAGGTCATGCAGCTGAGGATCAGAATCAAATCCGATCTTCCAGTTGGTAAATAAACCATCCTGGATCAGTCCACACGATGTTTTACAGTCGTGGTTGATCGATACAGTCTATCATTTATTAGTGAAGAATAAATAAGGGAGGGGGGGGCTTAATAGAGAGGGGGGCTTATTAACTTTCTTCCCTTGAAAAGGGGGAGCTTATTAGAGGGAGGGGGCTTATTTGAGGGGGGGAGGGGCTTAATAGAGGATTTACGGTAGTATTATACCATGCAAGCTTCTTAAGAGTATGATGTTCTTTCTATGTGCCATGTAGTTACAATAATGATGTAGGATACATGTAGTAAATTCACCCATTCACCCACTCCTGGTAATTTTGCTGGAAAACGCCTTTTGAAGCTCGCTGTTTTATGGTCACCGTATTGCCACTGTGTGAAGGATTCTCCTCTATTCAATGACCTTAATTATAGTTGAATAACTTATATGACTTGATTTCATTTTAGATAAGGACGCAAAGGACCTTACCATTAATTTGTGGAACGGTAAAAAGATTTGTTCTTTTCGATGACCATGACGGAGATGTCTTTGCACTGGAGGAGAGATGGAAATAGTTCAGATAATCTGTTTCACGGTCGCATTACTACAGACCACTTCACTTCATGCCCATCTATAATAGACAATGCTGTTACGACTGTTAAACTCTTTAAGCCCCAATATTCAAATACCAGTTCTCCAGACTGATCTCTATACATTTCCCTAAAGAATTGGTTAAGATAATTTGTTTGTAGATCAAAGATTTTCCCATCAGGTGATCATTTTTATTATTAATTCTCACAACATTTTAACTTGATTCTGTATGGATTTTGTACCTAAAGGTTTTTATAAGTGATTTTGTAGACTCTAATTTGAGCAGTTCTTGTGCAACTCCTTCTTGTTAATATCTTGACAGCTCTTTCATATTATTTTCTAAAATATAGCTTAATTCATCACACATTGTACTCACTATTATCTATCTTCTCAATGGCTTGGAGCCTTTAGCTAATTGTCGCTCGCTTGCCCGCTTCTCGGCCTATAAGTACGCTCCGCTCACTAAGAAACTCGTGAGGTTGACTCGCAGCAAGTCTAAGGACCGTGGGATGTTCCAGATACTCATCTAATGATAATATTAGTTAGTATCAATACTAGGTACAGGTACCGGAAAATGAAACGTTGTCGTTGTTGTTGAGAAACCAACTCTCCCCAGTTTGTTTCTATAAAGGTTGTGTTTTTTTCACTTTGGAAATAGCTACTGTAGTCAGTCCAAAATTGTGGTGCACTTATTTACCTATTCACCCTTGGGAATTTTGCTGAAAAACGCGTTTTAAAGGTAGTCGAGCCGTTTTCTGGTCACTGTCTGGCTGTTAAGAGATAAAACATGCCACAAAGCCCTTTACAGGTCCTGCACTTGGCGGCCTTCTTATCATTTTGGGCATACGCAGGAAGCAAAGTTCCGATGGGTTTAATAGTGACACAGGAGTCCTGACTATTTCTTTTCACTTTCTCTCCTCTCCACTTCTTTCGTTCTTCTTGCTTCGTTTTTTCTTTTGCCGGGCATTTACAACTGTAGCAGGATTCATTTTGTCGGGAAAAGTTTTTGGGAAAGCTTTTAGGATGAAAGGAAAGGTAGGTGGGTAGTGGAAGAAGAATTTCATGGGAATTTTCGCGTCAGCTTTACTGGTTTTTTGCCTTTTCCCCAGTCTCCTTTACTGAATCGTGCTTATCTAGTATGGTTTGAAAGATCTCTTCACCCTGCACAAAGTTGTCCTTTACCGTCAACAATTAAAATGCCAATAACAGTGACATTTACATGTTTAAGCTTGTTCCTTGTTGAAATTTCTATGCTAGGAGCCAGTCTCTTTGTATGGAGACACAAAATTCTTCTCCCTGGCCAAGCTGGATCGCTCACTTAGCCTTTCTACAATTAAAAAGTTCGTGGAGGAAGAAGAAGCAAAGTAAGCTGATAACTAGCTCTAACGAATGGTTTAATTCTTATAACAGTTACCTTTAAAACAATAATTTTACCATACTGATCTTTCTAGCAATTAATCGAATAAAGCAATTATTAACAGACTTTAAGCAAATGGTTTTCATGGTTTTGGCGCTGTAAATTGACTAGTCTGAAATGTTATACTTCTCCAACCCTAACCCGTGGGGGGCGCGGGGGATAGCAGAGAAGTCTGAATTCCGAGCGTTATAATGCCGTCCGGTGACTTCACCTACTTTTGCGAATACGGTAGGTATTTTCTGATTGGCTATTACCCTTCCGAAAACCTTCCCAAAAACATCCCGTTTGACAGGATAAACGAGACTTATAATTGCTGTGTGAAACATGACCTTAAGGTCAGCGGAAGTTAACCTCTCCTCACAAAGTGAAGACTTATACTATAGTAGGAACTGATAAATTGACTGCCATGGTAAAGCAGAACACACCTTTTGTCACTTGTTGTTTCTATCAATCGCAGGCCTAGGCCAAACGTTTAAATTTTCATGAGACTAAGCACACATAGTGAGTGAACTTCATGAAAATTCGACGTCTGGCTTAGTTACGTTCGTCTAAATGAGTTTGGATCGTCCAACACGTTCTAGTAAGGAGAGGTCAGGAGAATTCTCAGATTAAAAGCGACTCTTCTCTTTTGATACGTTTAAGCTCCAGCCAAGGGTGAGAAGAATGAATTCACTGCCTATGTTATGTTGTCCTTGTTAGATCAATTGCCCCACTCTACACTTTGACACTGTAAAACTGTCCTTTCAGGTTGCCAAGTAAACTGGTTATAGAATGGCCTGAGGATGACAAGCTGGATCCTAACTCGAAAATCCCAGCAGGAACCACCATAGGTGTGTACTTCTCGACAAACTCTGTTGTATTAGACAATTTTCTTGGTTGCTACGCAGTTTCAATTTGAAAATTAAAGCTGGTAGAAAAAAATAAACGATCTGCGGTTCCGGACTCACTCTGAGTTCAGTTCAACGGTTAGGAAAAGGCGATTGAAAATTAATATACGTAGGTCAGGTTTGAAATGCCCTAAATCATTAATTTTTCTCAGTCCTAAAGTAATTAGAACCGCTAACTTCCCCAACGATAGCCTGCGTCGAGATCCCTGATATACACTACATCACGTTTTTAAGTCTAGGTGTCGACTAGCATGTCCGGCTGCAATGCAGGCTACAACAATGAGTGATTAATGTATTCTTGGCAGTAAGCTTATTTATGTGGTCTCAGCCTTTTTTTTTTAAGAAAGTTGCTTTTTGGCCACCAATATTTGGAAAAAAATTAGGTGAAAAATTCGGTCGGAAAAAAATGAGAGGTGGGGTTGTGTGGGGGGGGGGGGGGGGGCAGGCGGATCAATAAAACAGGATACAATGTCTTACCTGTCTTGAACATGTTGAATGTGTCACTGCATTGTTTTGACAAGCAGAACTGAAGCAGTTTTGCCCTCTTCCCAAAGTAATACTTGCTGTTGTTGTTGTTTGGTTTGGTTTGTTTGTGTATTTTTTTCTTTTTCGCAAAGTTGATTGTAACACTGCCGTTCGTCTTGTCTTTTAAATTTCCTATGTATACTAGCTCCTTTGGACGATGTTGTGGCGTCTCGCTTTCCTTATGTTTCTACGTACGTTAACTGGTTTGCATAATGTTAGTCTTCCTCTTCTTTAACTTTCTCTCTGTGTTAGTTAGGCCTAGGCCAAACGTCGAACCACTTCAGTGGATTCCGTCAACAGTCCCAGCAGTTAGAACTGCTGTACAAAACTTCATTATTCTCTTCGGGGGTACGTGTAGGTGTGAACGGGTTGATACTTCTTTCACTGTATCACTTTTCGAGGAATATAGCTTGCTATGAGCCATGGTGGCTTCACTGCCATCTCAGAAACTTAGTGGCAACTTAAACGGTGTATTTTCCATTTCTTAATCAGGTGCCATGAAAGTGGACATTTTAAACGGAAAGGGTGAATCTATGAACAAACTGCCTGGTGACAGAAGAAGATTGTTGGTAGAGTTAAAGGTCATTTGGCATGGTAAGAGATAAATGCTTTACATTGTAAGGAGAAGCACATGATTTGTGACGGTCTCGTAGTATGCATTGGTGGCTGCTCGTAGCAATAAGCTTTCCTCTTTTTTTAGTCAAGTGTTGACAAAACGTTAGGTCTCCATTGGCACAAAATACCTCTCTCAAGAGTTAAGAAATTCGTGTTTGCACTTGTTACTTGTGAGTACGAGGACGACATTTAATTTTAAGTTTTCTCGCCTATTCTCTAAAAATAGACACCCCAGAAAGCTTCGTTGTACTCAGCTTTTTCATGACAACAGTTAATCAAGTGTTGACAAAACGTTAGGTCTCCATTCACACAAAATATCTCTCTCAAAAGTTAAGTTTTTTCATCACAGAAGTTAGCACGCTTAGTTCCGTTGAAGAAGTTAAAACCCTCTCCCGACGGCTAACGATAAAATTCCTAAAATTTGATAACCTGTTTTCGTCACAACGACATTCGCGCTTAAACTCGTGGTAGAATGACGATGGCTATCACAGTTTCCCGCCAAAATGACGTTGGTTCACGTGTACGCTATACTTACTATTGGGAAAATCTCGTTCTTGTAGTCGTCCTCATCTTAGAATCTAAAGCTCTGTATTTTGATCTTATAAGGATCGGTATTGTTATTTATTTACGTATTTTTTGCAGGAAGTGACAAAGATGGAGACAAAGTAATCACTAATCATGTCTGTCAACATGGAGGAAAGAGCTGGCCATACTGGTTCAGAAAAATGGGTAACTGAGCTAGTCTGCTGCTATCAGCTGTGCTATGAGATTTAGTGGATAGGGCTATCCATGCAGAGATTAAACAACTGGGGCCAGTTGAAAACAGTGTGTGGATTTACCTGTTCTTGCTGTTGTTTCAGAAAATATTACCCTGCTTGGCCCACATACTCTTCAGCTTCAAGTGTTACTGAGTGACAGTTCAACTGCGCCATCAGTTAAGAGTCTTCCAGTCCATCGTATCAAGTTTACCGTTACAGGTTTGTAAAAAATGACCAGCCAGGGACAATTTTAGGTTACATTTACACTAGATGTGACTTTTTTGGATTCGTGACGATTCCGAAAAATTTGGTTACAGATTCACTTTGTCCAGGAGGGAGGGGCCGTCTCTAGGGTAAACATTGGTTCACTGATCACTGCCAGTGTGACGTCACGTCATACATCGGTGATTTTCAAAATGGCGGGCAAATTTTTTCGTTACGTTGCAAAGGATGTCAATTTTCTGAATGTTTGAATTCATCTTTTGCCTTCTTCAATAAGGCAGAGCTTTTGAAAAATAACATGGAAATATTCGCCATAAGGTTCAGTCGGAAAAAGTTTCAAAAGCATCACATGAGGCAAAGAAAGGTACCGCGAAGTGTCTATAAATTGGCACAGTTTGTATGATCGTTTATCGCTTTCGGGCAACGTGCGAAGTGGTGTGGAAATATCCTGATCTCAGAATAGGAGGATTGGTTTATGATACATTGAGCTTAATGTACGCCGAGTTTCAGCGAGCCAAAGTGCGTAGTTCTTCTCATCAATCCCTTTAAAGTCGATGGAATGAAAAAATGTGGAGACGACATAAATGTAATCTGCTTACATCAAGTCACTACCTGATGCAACAGGTTGGCAGTAGAGATCAGTGGTAAGTTTTGAAATTTACTCGTTTACTTCTAACAACAGGAGACTTATATGTATGTTTTGTGCATGGATTAACATCAGGAAAACGTAATTTTTTGAATGGCAAATAGATAGCGGTCCTGAAATACATGCAGGTTATAAAATTAATGTTCAGGCTCTACAAACTGCTCTCCATATATTAATGCTAGAGGGATAACACTGCTAGGCTAGAATCTATGTGCAATTGCATTGTACAATATTAACTGCAATATTCCATGAAATAATTTTTGATCAGGGGTGCAAGGAATCTCTGTTGTCAAAGTACAAAATATTAAAATCAACAAATTAATACTAATTATTTAAGAACACTATAATTATGATAGTGTTGAAGTTTATGTATACAAACAGAAATAGATTTGATACATCTTTTATGAGGGTTATTGTTTTATGCACTTATTGAAACTAATCTGTGCAACCGTCAATCCCAATTGTTCAGGAAGTACTGTTTCCCCAAATTTTAAAGTGGAAAAATCAATTTCAAGCTTTTTGTAAGAGCCATTGGGGGGCAGCCAGTGAGGAATAACACGACATGGTATGAATGGTATACCTTCCTGGATGGCCACCCAAAGACGATGGTTTCCTTCAGTGATATAGGCTCTTCCAGTTGTAAGATCACATGATATTGAAAACCATTTTTCAAAATGAAACGTCTTACTTGTTCAAGATGATTGTGATTATTGCCAGCTTTTGGCATGAGAGATCTGTCAAATTCCCTATATTCCCAAAGATCTTGTGTTTTGACCATTTGAAATTCATGCGAATAATCAAATGCATGAGAAATGTAAGATTTGGTCTGCATTGCATGTTTTTCACTTTCTGTGGGTTCATCAAGTGTCACAAAGGACATATCTGTATCAATTAATGGTTGAAATGCTTTTGCAAAATCATCGTCACTACTCTCACTGTCAATTTCTGTAGTCATGCTTTTAATCAACTCTTTAAATGATTTACACTTTGACTCTTTTTTGCCACCTTTAATGTGTGAAGTTGTTTCTGTTCTTCCAACTTTTTGTTTTTTTGGTGGGTGCCTCTCAGGTGTGTAACCTTGCTTAGTAGGTGTGGAAGAATGCTTCGGACTACCTCATAACCTTTTTTGTGACATTTGCTTGCTATCATGCAGCTCCACTTTATCACAAGAGGGTTATATCTCATACCTTTAGGGTGAGGCTTTTGCTTATTTTTGGTAAGTTTTCCTTGCTTTGCAAATTCCTCCTCCTGTTTCTTCAGTGAGGTTTAAGTGTCAGTAAGTAGAGCGTAGAGAACAGAATTTTCAACAAGCCAATGATTTTCAATGGCAATATCCATTAGTTTAGCAAGGTCAGATGATTTGGGTTGAAAATGTTTTGGTGCTTTCACATTTTTTTGTTTCTCTTTTAGGTACAAACTGTAATATCGTTTTGCTTTTTTTTGGGTTTGAGCAACCACTTTGTGTAGATTTTTTGCTCTGGCTATGACTTCAGCACGTGAAAGAGTACTGAGTTTAGTGTGTGAATCATAGGCTGTTTTAGACTCAAATGATTCAGATGAAGGATTTGTTTTCCAATGAAAGCGAGATCGTAAAATATCTTGACATTTGTGGCATCTGGTTTTTGAATGGACAGGTAGTTTGTAGGTGCAATTTAAGCTCCTAACGCACTTGACAATCTCTCCATCTACATTTGCTCCTTTTTCATCCACAAAGTATAAATTTGTTTCCCTTTTTCTTTCAGCCATATCAACAAGGGCTGGATCATATATACCTGGACAAACCGGTAAGTTTTCAATAGTTTTAAGTATGACACCCAAACCAGAGTTTAATATGTTTTCTTGAAAAATATTGTGTGGGAGTTCCCCATGGTCAATTTTGTTACCCAAGAATTCTACTGTAAATGGACTAAAATCCTTTGAAGGAAATGTTTTTATTTCAGAAGGAAGAAAAAGGGTTAACTCCTTCCACTTGGTTATTACACCACCTTTTCCGATATTTGGAAGAGAAAAAGTAACCTTCATGGTATTATCTGTAGTGTGCTGAGTAAATGACACTGTCCATGGAAAAATACATGAAAGAATTGTTTGAAAAACTGTATAAACTGGCAGAGGTGATGACTGTACTTCACTGTCATTTCCTGCATCTACTGGTTCTTTTGGAGCAGTTTGTGTCATTATTTCATTCAACACATCTGTAAAAATACCTGCTTTACAGTTTAAAGCATCAGACACAGCAAATTCTCTATCCAAGACCATTTTTTCTGATAGCACAGTGGCTTGTCCTTTAGTTGGATTAATAGTTGTTTCTTCAAAAAACTCATGCTTGTTGCTGTCATTATCTGTCGTTATTGTGGAAATTGAACAACCTTGTTTTTGGTAGAACATGTTTTGAGCTTCTTTGTACTCATGCTCTATTTTAATGGATTTTAAATAGAAAGGCTGACATGACATGCATATGTAGTCTGGAAAAGTTCCATCACAAAGATCTACACTATACAAGTCATTATGTAAATCAGTCTTATTGCCAGTTCTTTCATCCAAAAAATTGCATCCCACTGAAAACATATTTTTAAAACTATTTATGTGGTGTTTCTTGCAGGGAACATCACTACTCAGGCAAACCTTGTTGCCACATTGTGAACAAGGCACTATACATGGTGTAATTTTCAGGATGCCCAGCTGGGCATCGCTGCGTGATCTAGTGGAGCTTTTCCCCTTAGGAGGCTTATGCCCTCTTGCTGATAAACTGCCGTAATGTTTATCACATACCCTAAGATCTTTGAGATTTTCAGGTGTAACATCATCAGGGGCACATTTCAGTTCATACTGCCCAACCATACTATCAAATTTTCTTGATCCTGCCTCATTCTCACATCCCTTCAGACAGCATTGTACACCTCCCATCAATTGCCCATGCATAAAAACTGTTCCTCTTATTTCTTCTAAAAGTAAAAAATCAAATAAAGGCTTTCCACAGCATGACAACCAGTACAAATCACTTGTTATTCTGAATTTAGTATTTATTTGAGATCTTAGATCTTTTATTGTGGCATATGGTGCAAAAGGCAGGGTGTGTGGCTTGCCTGTTATATCAACAATTTGAATTGTTGTCATCAACCTGTTAGATCTTATCTACATGCTAAAAAGGAAACCAGGGTGGTGTAATTCAAGCAGTCTGGCACAGGGATAACTTAAAAGTACACCAAATGAGAGATATAAAATTGGAAAAAGGAGTGGCATTTCTGTACAGGATCTGGAAGTGACATCAAAGGTCTCCCCAAATATAATAATAGTCACAACATATAAACCCACAAAGAATGAAAATGGGAGTGCAGAAATTATTAGCAAAAAAGCAGCAGTTGCCAAGTAAACAGGATATTGAAGTTCACAGTTTAAAGAACAATTTTTTGTAATACCAAGGTTCAGTAAAAAGCCATGAGAAACAAAAAGGCACACGGTCATTAGACAGGAGAAAAAAAGCTGTGATTTTAATCTCCAAAAATATTGTACCAGTGAAAAGTTGAATTGGGGCTTTACATGTAACAAAATTTTGTAAACTGGATCAAGCAAAGATAGAAATAATTTCAAGATAATAACAGCAGGGAATAGAAGCATTTCTAACAAACAATTTAAAGTTGATCTATACTTAATCATTTGCCTTAAAGAAACCATGCACAATACTTTCCTGTAAAACAAAAACGTCAGTGTAAAAAGAATGGTGGTTAAGGCTAAAAGGGAAACAAGGAAGTTTGAGAGGTTGAAGTTTTGAATTACCTTCACTTTGAAGTGGGTAATAAAAAAGGACAAAACAGAGGAGACCAACATTTTTACTACATGAGAAGATTTACTTTGTAACTCAAAGGAGTGAGGGATTTGTGTCTCCGAAAAAGATGGGGGCTTTGAAGGGATGCAGAGGGCACATGGAAGGTTTGAAAGGCCTGGGAAAGATATTGCAACCATTGCAAAAACAATATGGACATGCACAACAGCCATCACAAGATACACAATCTTATGATTGTGAGGACTAAAAAGCCAAGCAATGTCAAAATATAAATCATACAACAAGAAGCCCATTGTCAAATATATACATAATACAATATTTTTATTCATCATGATGTTTTCTTCTTCTAAAGTAAATAATTATAGATATATATTATATAAATATGATCTTACTTTATTAATTTTCTCCCTAAGTAATTTTTCCTTTTTAAAATAATATAACTTCTTAAATTAAGCTATGTACTTTTTATTTAAAATATTTTTTTCTGTCTCTTTTATATGTCTTTAATATTATTATTATTGTTTTTTTCTCAAGTAATAGTCACACTAAATTAATTAAAAGAATAATCTTTTTAAAAGGCAAATACAGAAGCCAACAACACTGCTAACAAGCAACAACAACAATGACACAGGCAAGTAAAATACGGGGAAAAAGCCAACAAAAAACTGCAGACAAATGCAAATAGCAAATTTTACCAACAATAACAAAACAGAATAAAACAACCAACAGCAGTAAATTTTCAAAGCAGTAAAGGCCAGCAATTACTTTGATCAAAACAGAGGGGCACCAGATTAACCAGCAAACCTTAGACACAAGCAGTAAACAAACAAGCAAACTTAACACACAATGACAGCGTTAAAGTCTGCAAAATTTACCCCAGACAGTCAAGAAGCCAAGAAACCACACGCGATTCAACACAGTATCTTCACATTCAAAAGGATTGATGAGCAAAATGGCTCGTTACATCAACACAAATCAACTATCGTATCAAACTTCTGTTATTAATGAATTAAACCTCCTCTTCTGAGGAGATTTGGTTGGGAATTTAAAGAGAAAACGGCTGACGTTTAGGGTGGATTTATCTAGTTCCGAGTTCAAAATGGCGCCCACGTCACTGACCCGAAGTGGATTGGAGTAGAATTTAACACAAACGTGCGGACAAAACAAACACAGCTTTTACACACAAACAATATAAGCAACAAAGCTTGCACACTTACGACAAATTGTTTTACCAACGCTGAACAAAAGCCTGTATTAGCCCTTTCTTTGTTTAACTTCGATGGCTTCTCCACGCTAAACTGATCAAGCGACCCGAAGCTCTGAGTCGTTGCTATGTGACGTCACACTGGCATGATGACTCGGTCACAGACAAATACCCGAAAACAATAGAGACGCCTCCTCCCTCCTGATTGAACTCAACTCCCACAGTAGATCCACGGGAAAGACTGTCATGTGGAGAAATTGAAAACACACGCGTAAAATGTTAAATAACAAATTACTGCGGTTTGTCAATTACCGCGGACGTTACCATTATAATTCTTGTCGTTATTAACAGCCTCGTCAGAAGTCATAAAATTTTCCCTGGCATTTTCTTTTTATTGCAAAAACCTTGAAAGGGAACATTGTATTTTTGATCCACCCTGTTAAAATAACTCGTACATCTTTTGTTATCTTGTTTCTTCTTTGTCATTTCTGTTTATTTAGAGGCTCATCCAAACAAATTCACTGTTGGAATGTTGGAGACACCTCTTAGAGTTGGAGTTCCTTTCCAGGTTTTTTTTTGTTGTTTCACCCCCCTCTCCACCCTGTTTTTGAGAGGATGTAGCTCCCGTAGGGGGTAGGGGGAGTTCTTCCTAGTAATAGGCCAATGGGTATTTGCCCCTGGATTGGGTCGCATTTGGGTATGTGCCCCCCTAGATAGGGTCGCGAGGATGTAGCTCCCATAGGGGGAGGGTACTTCCTAGAAATAGACCAATGGGTATGTGCCACTGGATGGGGTCGCATTTCCACGATTGGGTTGACTATAATTGGGAATAATGGTTTTGCATTTTCAGAAGAGTTACTAGAATTGGGTCTCAGGTTTTCGGGATTTTGAGGGAAAAGAATCCTTTATAAGAAGGGGCTTAAAAATGGGAAGTTGGGATTGTGAAAATTACATTTGCTTAAAAGTGACTAAGAGGGAGTCTATAATTGGCCACAGAATGGCCAACAGTTGTGAAGGGGTTCTAAGAGGCCAGCAACTCATAATAAGCAAAATATGATCCAAGTACCCCTAGCAATATGTCACTAGAGGGTGGTATCAAGGTTTAGCTAGTCTGAAATGGCAAATATAACATACTATGTTTTCTTGGTGGTTAAGATTCCACTGAATTTGCTGGATGAGTTTGAAAACCCTTCAAAGTTATCAGAGCAAAAAGCACTCGTGTTAAGTGCAAGGTGAGTGTATTTTGATAAATTTTTAATGAAACATGGATTTGTAACCTTGGTGTTAAAGTCAATTTTGCCTTCAACAGAATAACATAACTTGTTTATATTGTTAGCGGACTGGAGTTGACTCACCAGGGAACATCAGTGAAGGGAATCAGCCTGATCGTTAAGGGTGTGGTTGCCCTTGGTTCTGTACCATCCCATGCAGGAAAGGTGAGGGGATTTTTGTACAAAATCTTGGCCGATCTGATCTAATTTCTCGTAATAAAATGGGGTACGATGATATCATCAGTAGCCTTCGTGATTCAGAATCTCGAACTTACGTTAAATTTATCTGAACAGTTTTTTGTTTGTTTGTTTGTTGTAAAAGGAGTTTAATCTAAAGATCGCCCTACGAAGACTTGAAGAAGGTTCACAGAGCTTGAAGATCAGGTTACTTCGAAGTACTCTTTTGACGCCATATGTAGGTTGAGTTTGTCTTTGGTTCTCTCCCTTGCTCCGAGAGGTTTTTTCTCCAGGTACTCTGGTTTTTACCTCTCCTTAAAGACCTTCACTTTCAAATTCTAATTCGGTCTAGAACTCACGGACACGTTTCAACGAGTTCTCAAGAACTCCTAAATGCTCCGTGGGTAAACAAATTACAATTTACAATTTTCACCAGCATGTAAATTTTCCCTAAAAAAATGACTCCGAGACTGTCTAAAAAGGATGCCTTCCTTTGGGTTGATCGGGATCAGGATCAGTGATCTGGCATCACTCGGATCATACTACATTAAATAAAACAAAGAATCCTTTTCCAGAGTTGATTTGTCGGTTCCTCAAATGTGCTATGGTCCAAGTGATCACTGATCCTGATCCGGCTCACCCCAATCGAACAAACCTTAAAATGCAACTTAGATGTAGGGTTTTAATGCTATTAAATCATATTTAATGTAGTTGACGACTAGGAGCTACGGTGTCTAGTGTTTTTGGCGTTTTTGGTGGCGTGTTGGCTGTCTGTAGCGCTGTGGCGTGAAGATGTTTGCGTTTGTAGTGTTAACCATTGTTCGTGAGCGTGGCGGCTGATTCCTGTCCAGCGGTATGTTGCTTTGGCGCATGCGCAGGCCATGTGCCTACGTCGGTTTGCGTTGTACTCGAAGCTTTTTTGGCGTGGCGTGGCGTTCTAGTAGCATAGCGTTTCTCTTCCCTCCCTGCGCTTTCTTGGTTTACCATCTCGCCCTCCGTCCCGGGTTTTTTTTCTTCGTTTCGGAGGTTTGTTCATTTTACTTCCACTGGGCTTCTGGCCTCAGTGTGACGGGTGCCATAGTGGGGGGCTGGGCGCGGGGGGCTCGTGGCTGGGTTGCGGGTTGGTAGGCCTGTGGGTGTTCTTCATCCTTGGGGTGTGAGCGGTTACAGCCCCCTGGCCCAAGTTAAGGGCACCCAACCTCCACTTGTGACGCGGGCGTTAACTGAGACGTGCACGCCCCCTTCTCACTCCAATTTTTGACGCTCTTAAGCCTGTTTCTGTTTACTGAATCACGTTTTATGCTGCAGGGCCACCAGATTCCCTTGCGGTCACACCAAATGACAGTGAGGTTACCATTGAAAACAACAGTGCCCTGTAGCTACAAGTGCAGGTCCAGGACAAAGCAGGAAACCTAACAGTTCAACCAAGGCTTAATGTTGTTTGTAAGGTAACTATGCAAATGTTCACCTCATTGTGATAATTGCTCCTTACTCCTCATATTAGAACTTCAATTTTAAAATGCTGGTTCCACAACTTTGTTAAGGAGTCACGAGGCGTTAAGTATACTCTGTTCAAGCAAATTGACGATTGTTAAAGGTCCATTGCAACTACATATTTTGAAATCCCTGATAGCTCTAAGCTTTGGAGAATACACTAAACGCCTCATACCTTGTTTTCAACATACGGTAAACTGTTAGTATTATTTTATTTTAGGCAAGCTAAATAGAATCCATGATCAGTCTATACTTACTGCTGTCAAGATCCCCGTGAATATGAACTTGACCTTGCTTAAGTTTTAGAACCAAAATTTGATTAGAAACTTCACAGATCTTCACATGCAGTGCACTTTGTATGGAGAATAACAAATCGACAACAATTTCCCATGGTCTATTATCTTATCGATCACAGAAATGATGTCAAAATCTTCAAAACTCAAGTGGAACTACGAGCCGCAGGCGAGCTGCAAGTTTTGAACTTTTGATGTCATTTCTATGGCCGATAATTTTACCGACAATGAAAAATTGTCGATTGTGTTTTTCAATAACACCGACGTCCATTTCTGATAATGTTTCTTGGGAAATTATATTTATTTATTTGTATTTATTTATTTTTTAACAAAGAGGTACATTGATGGCGGTCGCCATCTTAAAAGCAATGTCCACGATGGTGGGAGAAAATACCATCAATACGCCTGCTTTGCAGTTTACAATTGGCGACAAAATTGTTGCGACATTGTCCTCAAATGGGATAACTTCAGAGAACAAAACAATCCGCACCCCTTCCCCATCCCGTCCATTCAAAGTTGGGGTATTTCTTGTTTTCAACAGGTGGCTCGAACAGCGGCACAACGTTGCATGGAGGGGGTAGGGGAGGAAAAGATTTATTTTTCCCCTTTTAAGTTAGCAAGACGTCAGAGACGCCCTTTAGGACAAAGTGTCTCAACTAATTTTGTGGCCGATTGTAGGAAAATCGCGCGTGAGAGAAAGAGAAAAAATGTATATAACGCCATCACTTCATTTCCGAGTCTCATCGAGCACAGCTCTAAACCAATCAGCGTGTAAAAAATCGCTTTGTTATTGTAAAACTTGAATCTGATAAGAAACAACTTGGTGTGTTGTAGCTGGCAGGCACACCAGGCTTACCAACTTACATAGGAGACTGTAGTGCATCTGGGAAGGCCTCCCTAACAGGTGAAGCAGATCACCAAGGAAACCAAATTAAAGGCCAAGATAGAGTTACCCCTTTTGGGGTTTTCATGTCCGGCTTTGGTGCGATCAACCTGCGTGCAATGCCTCCTTTTGTCGTCTTGAGTGGAAAGGAAAACAGGAGGTTCTGTCTAAATCACGTGATCTCATTAAAGTCGCTGAAGCCAGAATATCTGGACCAATCGTCAAACTGGTTTTCCAAGTGGGAGCGACCGTTTTTTGATTAACTGATGGCCATAACTAAGCGCGCTGTTCCGTGTGCACAGCTTTTACGCCTGGGTTCAACACAGTTTATCAGCAACAATTACCTCATGTACAATAACAAGCTTACTCGATTTGTGCAGAGTCTTTCTCAAATACGCCAAGATCGAGAAAGTGAAAGGAACGCATTGTCAGCAGGGTGTGGTGCGTAGTCATAAAGTTCTCACTGTACATCTCTAAATTGTATCTGGGCGTGGCTGACCAACACTCCAAACCTCAGCATGCTTGTTTGTCGTTTTTGTAAAAACACACAACAGTAGCCCTGATTTAGTGACTGGTTATGATCTTTTAGCATCATAAAGAGGTTGCTGCAGTGGAGAAGACCATTATTGTGACACCCAGTAGTAAAGCAGCAGAGCTGGAAGTGTTTTACAAATTTCCTGATGCGAAACAGAAGAAGAAGATGGACGATGGACAGGAGCTGCCTTGAACAGCAGGAAACACACTTACTGGACTGAGTATGTGATCAACAAGAAATCAGTGTACTTAGTTTGATATGATTTTTTCCCCCTAGTTTGTCTTAAGTTGCGTAAGGAATTAGAATAGGTAATAGCATGATTTGTAATGATATTTGGCAGAAATACCACGAATGGTATTTCGAATTTGATATACGTAATTTCACGAGCCTTTAGGAGAGTGAAATTTGGGACTATTTTGAAATATCACGCGTGGTATTTGTTCCAAATATCACGTACAAATCATGCTATTATTTGTTTATACTACTACTCGTAAAAGGTTTGTAATTTTCACATTAAGCTGAAATACCACTGCTCTAAGCCAATCAAATAGCAGAAATTTCTTATATAGTAGTATAACAGGCAGAGAAAAAAAAGGTTTGAAAAGGGGAAAGGCATTTAGGTGTGCACCAAAATGCCAATTCATATCATCGAGGCATGACCTCATCAGCTAAAAATTAGGAAGCTTATGCAAGGATGAATAATAAGAAACAAGCAAACAATGGGTGTTGCCTTAACTGAACTCGATAATAATAATGACACGTCACACTTTTTGGTGCAAACGTAAAGGTATTTCCGGTCGTCGCTTCTCTCCACCTGAACAGGAAACACGTCTGCGTTGGCCCGCTATCCTTTGCACAACTCAAACGCGAAATTTCCCGGGAGCCCAAATGGGTGACGTGAACATATAAAGGTACATTTTCCTCTTCTTATAACTTTGGAGTGGTCACTTACAATTTATCTATAGGAACATTGGTCGTGAGCAAGTTGCGATCACGATTAAGTTTGAAAGATCGATTCTTCACTGTATTGGTGACGTCTTCGAACCCGTCGTCTTCGTGGTTACTTAAACTGTCCATTCGCCTCCTTAGAAACGAGAAGGGGACTTGAGCCCATATGTGTCCGGCAATTGTTTTGGGGATCGCTAATGGGGACACGCCCGTCAGCTATTGGCCATTTTCTTTTTCCCTGTTCTCTGTAACAGTCCAGACGTCTTTGCGAACGTCAGATTGGTCTAGTTTCCTTCTCAGTGTGTATCAGTCAATTTTCTTCTGGTGTTGGCTTAGTTCAATTTGCAGTGACATTTTATCTTTAGCCAGCTGTCAGTGGCACGGCCTGGTTTCCTCCAAAGTTGGTTAAATTTAACCCAGCGTAGCCGTTTTCTGGTGATTAGGGACCTTAAGATCCGAGGACGGCGACGGTAGCGCAGACGTCGTTAAAGTTATATCTCTTGTTACAAGGGCAAGTTAATATTACAAATGTAAATGTAGCATCTTGCTGTCACCGACAGGTTTTAGAATTCTGGATGAAGGACAGAGAGAAGTAACAATAGACAACTCCCTAGCCAGCAGATTAAAGGTAGATCCAAGAGAGGTCTTAGTCACTCTAAATGGAAAGGATATAAATAATTCAATTGCTCCTCTGTAAATATCCTTGTGAAAGTCCTCGCGACAGTTAACTTGACCCATTTTCTAAAGAAGCGAATTAAATTTTATACCAATAGTCCATTTTCGGGTTGCCGAGCAAACCATCAGGTCTTTGTCAAAGCAAGGCTTGGTCCTTAATCATCCATGCGAACATTAGTTTAATTGATCTGCGTGTGAATGAAAACTTATTTTCATAATATATAGGTTTAGCCAGGGCCAAAGGCGAAGCTCCCGTTAATGAAAAAACTTTTCAATAAAGAAATCTAATTAGAGTTGAGCCTGCGATCATTTGAAAACTGGATACTTAAAAACTAAAAAAACTTAAACGTAAACTTAAAAAAAAACAAGATGTAACCCCGATGGGTCGACATCTGAGCCAGCGATACGGTCAGGTGATACTGGTCAGCGGATACTTTTGTTTTGACAGCTGTCAACTGACCACAACATGGATGTGGAATATCAGGTTGCAGGATCCCAAACTAGCTAGAAAGTGCACCATTTCACATTGGTTTCCCTGTGGTGCGGGCGGGAGAGCGGGTGGACATACGGTCACTTGACTACCAAAATTTTTCGGATGGGTAGGTAACCAAATTTTCTTAGCTATGGGGCTTCGCTATGAAATGACGAGTAACAGGAGTTTCTTTTATAAAGAGGCTGAATGCAATCGGAAAAGGCCTACTGTAGAACACGAGTAGCCACCTGTAATGTGAGAGCAGTCAGAGACAGAACATATCAATAAAGGAAATTGGACAAAATAGCGTAATCCACTAGGTCAACACGTCAACTCAACAATCAAGGCTCTTTAGGAAATAGGAATAACACACCATCATCAGGAGACTTAGTGCGCTCTCCATCTCAATTGGCCTGCCAGACCAGCCCACTGCTACTGAAAATTCCAGCGTCAATCAGATCTGCCCAGCCAGAATAGTTTATTTTTTAAGTCTGTAAACAGCAGTGTTGGTTTTCTGCTGAAAATTCGAAAGAATGCCTACTCTATCGTTTTCAAGACGAACGGTCTTGACTTTTGGTCCGACTTTTGGTAAGCGCCCTTGGTGTGAATTAGCAGTTGTAAACTGTTACTGTTTATCAATGTAATGACTTGTCTTCTTTTGTCTCCAGGTTAACTGGACTCCAAAAGTTGCCAAAGACATCATCAAGCAAGGGAGTCTTCCTGATGTGAAGGTAATTACAGGACTTCGTGAAAATAAGTTTGTCGGTGACAGTTTTAGCTTCCATGGAGCAAGGTGGCACAGTTGGATAGTGCGCGGCCTTCGGTGCGTGAGGTCCCCGGTGACATCACATCCTTGATTCATCTTCTTTCCTTTCTTTGTAGTTTTAACTAGCTTTAAATGCCCTTAAAATGGAGCAGTGATGGAGAAGGGGGGGCAGGGCTGTGCTCTAGTAGAGCCCGAGCGCGGTGGCCCCTGGCGCCTAACGTTTGCTCCCGGGCGACTAGAAAATCTCAGATTTTTCATACAAATCATATGCTGGGCTAATCATATGCTACAGGTTCAGAGCACTGTGCTTCCT